GAACTACAACATAAAAATGAACGGTTGGCAAGAAGGTTGACATTTTAAACCTTAATAAAAAATCGATACAGTATCGAGAAATGAAACATCGTGATATTTCAGTGTATCGATATTTTCTTACACCCCTAGTTAATAAACACATATTTACACTGTAACACACTTCCTGTCACACTTTCTGGTATATAGTTTGATATATAAATGTTGAACAATAGTAACAAATATGCATGTTTGCTGGCATAAAACTAACAAATCCAAATAATAAATAAATAATTGAATAAAACTGATTTTAAGCAAACGAGTTTGACCGAATTATAGACATTTTTCTGTCTTGAACRGGTCAAATGGCTGTGGCAGCCATTTTTAATTTAATTGGCTTCAAAAGGGAAACATTTTTATGTACATCTTATGATTACTTCCTGAAATTGTCATTGCCATCCGTCCAGTAATTCATGAGTTTTGCTGACAGAAAACATTCTCGCCCACCAAATTCAAGAATACAGTGTTTTTGTACAGTAATAACATTATATTAAAACGTTGATAACTACAGTATAAATAATTTCACAATAAAGATGAAATGTGGTGTCAGAGTGAGTCATTTCCTATTTGACACCAGTRGGAATCTACAGAATGGCTATTAATTCAAGTAAAACCGGAAGTTTCTATTACAACTCTAAATTATTATATTTATTTAACTCACATCTGCCCCTGAAAACAGTGCGGATTAAAAGTCGCTTTAGCTCGTTTTTTCTCGGATAAAAGCCGGAGATCAAACAGCGGGGCACACCACCACGACTGAACCAAGTTTAGTTGAGTCGTGACGACAGCAGCTAACTCGGCTGGACTTGTTGCTTCAAACAGCTTAAAAACACCCAAACAAAACACGACACGCATGCGTTATTCACGTTTAATTACCATCCTCATTAACACAGGATAAAGAAAATCAACMGCATCGTTTCTATCCGAGAACTCTCTTCAAACGGCGACGAAACAGCGCGGTTCAAAGGCACGACTTTCCCCGAACTTACTTGTTCCGCCTTCCTGTTTCCTTCGATCTTTTTTGGCCGAAAATTATCAGAATATCTGTCGATAGCTTTACATTATTGACACGCACGGGCTACGTAGTGGACAGGCGTGGCAAAACATCTTTAAGTTTGAGCATAAATCTAGTAATATGTCACTTTGATAAAGAAACAAATGTCGGACTCCTCCCTGCGTAGCGAAAAGTACACCGACWGTCAAGTCCAAGGCCTTGAAGTCAACTTCCGGCTGACACTTTCAAAATAATAGTAATCCTGTAATGCACAAATTACAAAAAGGATTATTG